GTCGACAACTCAAGAGAAGACAAAAACTCTTAACTCTGGAAAACAAAGCACAGAAGATCAGTGAAGTTTTAGTCAAAAGTCCTAAAATTCTAGTTCACCAGTTCAGGCTCACGTACTAAATCTATCTTCTGTTGTGCTCTGAGCTTTCTGTTTAAATTCTGGAAGATAACATTCAACACCAGACTTGTCTCTACCATTAATGTGGCCATTTTCTTAGCTGTGTTTGAACTCTTATTTCTATGAGTCTGAATTTAGTTTTCCTGATATACCACACTGTTCAGAACTTCTTGGAGAGCTGGTTTGGTGTCGGTAAATTCTTTCAGGTTTTATCTGAGAATGTTCTTATATTTTATTCCCATATGGAGGATAATCTTGCTGGGTATAGTATTCTTGGTTGAAGTTGTTTTTCCCTTAACACTTTGAATATATTTTCCCATTCTTTCCTTGCTCACATTGTTTCTGATGAGAGGTCCGCTGTTAGCCTGATGGGATATCCTTTGTAGGTAACTTGATGTTTCTCTCTTGCCAATCTCAGTGTCTTGTCTTTGTGATTTTGGTCAATCTGGCTATAATGTGTCTTGGAGAAGATCTTCTTGGGTTGATCTATGTGGGGTCCTTTGTATTCCTTGGGTTGGGTCTGGATCTTTGAATGCCTCTCTAGGGGGAAAATCTTCTTCTATGATTTCATGGAATAGATGATCAATGCCCTTATGTTTCTTCACCTTCTGAGATACCAATTATCCACATGTTTGGACATGTAATGGTATCTAATATTTCTCGTATAATATTCTCAATTTTTGGGTCTATTTTCTCAGTCTTTATGGTGGATTTTTTTTGGGTCTATTTTCTTAGTCTTTATGGTGGATTTTTCTAGTCTAGCAATTTTGTCTTTAACATCTGAGATTTGATCTTCTGTATGATCTAGTATGCTTTTAATACTTTCAAGGGAGGTTTTGACTTTCTATTTTATAGCCTTCATCTCTTAACAGTTCCATTTGATTCCTTTTTATGATGTGTATTTCCTCTTTCAGATCATGTAAGAACTTCCTCACCTTCTGGAACTCATCAGCTCTTTAATCCTGCCACTTCTGGAGTATATTGTTTCTCTTCTCTTGCATCTCTGTTAGCTGTTACTATGAATATTCTAAATTCTTTACCAGACATTTCCACAAATTCTATTGTACTGTCTGTGGATGAAGAGGGGTTATTCTTTTCTTTTGGGGGAGAGGTATTTTCTTAGTCTCTCATATTTCTTGTGCCTCTGCCGTAATTTCTGATCATCTGATGGATTATACATTTCTTCCCAATTTCTAGAAGTTCAATCTGAGTGTTCAGAGGTGTACAGGTGGAGGTGATCTAGAATCTCTTTGCCATTCTGTTTTTCTCCCTTTGTGTGGCAGATTCAGTGAGAACTGAGGAATATGTTGACACTAATAGTATTCAGATGTTTGGTTACGGTTCACTTAGACCTATCTAGACACTCAGGCTGAGCAGCAAAGTGATGAAGGTAAAAGAAAAAGGACAAGGAACAGAAAAAGAGAGAAAAGAGAAAAGAAAAAGATTTTTTAAGCAAAAAATGAAAATCGTGTGGCATGTGAAAGCACTAATTCTTAGCTCCAATGGAAGAGTCTTCTTCTGAAGACCTGCACTTTGGCCTCTTATAAATGAGAGGAAAAGGTGATTATTAGCAAGATAAAGGAAGATCTGAAAGTCAAGAAAATACCTTATAAAATTAAAAAGAAAAAGAAAAACTTTAAAAAATGAAGACAAGGAGAGGCAAGGAGAAAGATACAGGGGGGGCCTGTCACTCAAGAATGGGGTCTGGAGGGTGAAGTCTCAGCAGAAAATCTTTATTACTTAGTCCCTGAAAGCACTAGTTCTCAGGTCTAATGGAGGAGTCTTCTTGGATTTCTAAGAGTTAGAATGGAAAAAAATTGTAAACCTAGCCTTGGTGACATTGGCAACAGCGTACTAAATAGACATGCTGGAAGCCACATGGTTAATACAGGTTCAGATCCCTAGCTTACTTGAAAACACACAGGTTGTGGATGTACATGAGATCCTGCCAAGCTGGAGGACTGTGGGAGGGGGATTGCAGCATGTAACAATGATGAGACCCTGTTGAGGATGCCTCTATGTCCCTCCCTTGCTCCCTGTCATGAGCAAGCACGTACTTTCATGAATTAAAAAAAAAATTTTAAATACCTCCTTGATGATGTTGTAATCATGTTATATTTTTAATATACTGTGTTAAATAAATTTTGAAATGTAGTAGAAACCCTCTTACCTGACACTATTTGCATTCACAGATAATTGATCAAGTGTACAATAAACTGGAGGGAGGCCAGAGCAACTAGGTGGTGTGGTGGCTAAGGTGTATGGATCCCACATGGCCCACTGCACAGTTTGAGTCCCAGTCCCGGAGCATTTTACTGCATGAATCTGGACAAGTTTGTTTTCATAACCATGAAAGTGACTTGCAACAGTGCTTACTGTGTAGGGTTGTTACAAGGATTACATGAGATGTAGGTAAAAGGTTTAGCAGTAGCTGCCACAGGGCTGCAGCTGCTACACTGTATACTCACACTTTAGCCTGTGAGCTTCTCAGGGGGTGCAAGACTCCAACAAACCACCTAATGGAACAAATTCTGCACTCGAGGGGAAAATCCATGTAATCCGAGCAGAGTCCAACCAGTCCTCTACTTACGAATGAGTATCTACACATATAATGGGGAACTTGACTGCTCGATCCATTATACTTTTGACCGGAGAACAGCATTTCAGTGACATACTTAGCCATCTCTCCCTCTAGGATAGCGGCTTCCTTAAGAGAAGGGTCATGTACTGCTTACCACAGTATCCCTGGCACCTGACACAAGGCTTCGTAAGCTTTCAGTTAAGTCGAATAAATAAATAGGTGTTGTTATTAGGTCTAAGGAAATTATGTCAGAATCTGCTCAAACCTTTGAGCTATGGTTGGCAAAATTACAGCAGCTGAATCAGAGTAATCTCCCTCCCTCTTTCTCTGTGTTGGCCAGGAAAATCCAATCAAACCTAGCACATTCTGTCCTTGGAGCTGGAATAAGCACACCCGGACTGAGAACTTCAGAAATTAGGGCAATCTTCTACACTGCTTTTAATACTGTTTGCTCAAACTCAATAGCTTTCAACATGCTCATAGCAAGATACTGAAACATTTTCAAGAACACTCTCTTCCTAGCCTGTTAGCTATGAAGTATTTTTCACCCTAGTACATTTTATCTTGGTTTTCTACTGATATATTTCACATATTTCAAATGGATACTGAAAAAGACAAGGGGAAAAGTAACACTCCTGTGGAATTTCAATTCATGTTCCATTTACCCTCTACTCAATTAGAAATAATAAATTTTCATTTCTTACAGAGTAGGTGGCAGTACCTCTTCAAATACTATCATCTGTTTCATGATATAAATGAAAGATGTGACTGGCGAGCTAGTAAGTAGTTAAATCAAACAGGAAATTAGCTGATTATAAAATTAGCTAAAAGATTTTAAGTGATACAGTTTTTTGGCCATAAAGCAAAACCAGTTTCATGAAGATACCTAAGAAATCAGTTATTTATACCCCGTTATGTAAAATAAGGACAGTTAATATTTCCTTATAGTCATGACTAATTTTTAAAATTCTTTTCAGCTTAACACTTAGTGAGATTTTCTAAGCATCATGCTAGACATAGAAGTGAAGGAGTTATAAATAGCAACCCCTAGTCTTCTGAAATTTAACGTCTAAGGGAAAGTTTTATGGAAGCACCAGAATAATCAGGAAATGATTCATAGGACCTGTGTCTTGGACATGAAGATTTTGGAAGACACAGAAAAGCAGTTCCTTAGAGCGAATGTTACAAACACAGGTAGAGAGATAGAAGCATGGACATATATGTTTTGGGGAGATCCAAGTCATAAGCATCATTGGAAAATAAAGTGTGAGAAGAATAGCCAGGTCCAGATTATGAGATGGAAAAGGAGAATTAGTACTATTTATGCAACAGAGACCTATGGGAGGCCTTTACCTCGGAGAGACGTGACTAGATTTATGTGTTTCTCATGTGTCTTTCTGCTTGCATACAGGAGGAAAGTGCCTTCTCCTCTCAAGAGTTTTATTTTACATTATAAATAAGTTGGAATTCTGGTTTCATGTATTGGTCATGTAAACTCAACAGAAGCCTTCTACAGCGAGGTAAACTCATTTCCAGTGAGTTTTCATAACATGCTTCTTTCTCCATTCCTGTGTTTATAACATTCTCTCCAAGGAACTGCTTTTCTCTGTCTTCCCAGCCTGGTAAAATCGTAACTTCCAAGACACAGGTCTATGAACCATTTCCTGAGTTAATTCCATCAGATTTCTGAGCCCGAAGGCTAAAGGTAGAATCTGAGTGGTGAACTCACCGAGGTAATGTAATACTGCAGAGACCTGACCAGACGACCGGTGGGCCTTCCACAGATGACATTCTGATGCCACCGCACGGTCTCTTGATATTTCCATAGGATGAAGATCTGAGTGATCAATGCAGTGATTCAAGTAAGAAATGAAGGAACAGAATTAGAACAGTGGCCTTACATAAGCCGAGAATTTATTACAGATTTCAATGTGAGGAAGGGGGATGAAAGAAGAGTAGAAATTTTTCAGTGAGTGAAAGAAGGGAAGGCAATACCATTAAGAGAAAGAACAAAAGAACACGTCCACATGGGGAAAAGAGGAACTCTGCCTTGAACATGTTTTAGGTGTTAACAGAGGCATCATATATAGAAAATCTAAAAGACAGTTGAAAATATGGCTCTGCAAAAAGCTCAATAGAGAGGCCAAGTTGTGCTAATCGACAAAAATCATCTGCAAAAGGGAGTTCCAAGAGAGAGACAGAAAAAGGCAAAAGAACAGAATGTTAGGTTAGGCCTTTAAGGGTTCAGTCAATTCCATTAAACACAAAACCAAAGTGAAAGGAGTAATATCAAGTCAGCTTGTACACAAAGGCTTTATTTTGGATATAAATATATGTTGACATTGTATGCAAGATTCTCTTACAATGTAGAGTTTTCCCATACATTAAAAAATTCAATTTAGTCAGGGTAATTGTAGTATTAATGTGAAAACCTTACAACAATATGCAGTATTATAAATGTGTAGTCAGTTTCTATGCAAGTATGGCTGCTACATGTATGTCTGGCATTTTTACAACATATTACAAAAAGTTCAAATGAACTCAGCAGTATAAAGGTGACTTAAGATGCCTGACATTTTTGAGATTAAAAATCTTGCAAAAAGCAACAAAGCAGTTAACTGGAGGATTCAACCAATACCAACCCAAATATGTATGACGTCCAGTACGCCCAGACTTAGCCACAATATGTTATCATTTGGATAACTTAATGCTCAAGAAAAATTAGGCTTAAAAAAATATAGCTCTTTCCAGATATTACAGTTTGGTGACTGGAGACTATGTACATCCAAACCAACTAAAGGCTACATTTTTTAAAAAGCAAAAAATGACGACAAAAAAACCATTATGTGCTATCAGTTCAAATTAACTGAAATAGTAGTTACACTTTGCAACAATCATTGGTTTTACAAAATGAAATTTCTGTGAGAAGTTCATTAATTATAAAGCAATCAAAAATACTTAACATACTAAGAAGATTCAAATTGGTTTATCTATTTGTTATCAGTAAGGCATAATCTTAGTACCATACATTTTCTTCACTTCTCACTACATGTAATATGCAAAAACTAGCCAGTGGATTTAAATAGCTTAAAACCCTTTAGATCTACGGTTCAAGAGCTAGGCATTAAAATACTTAGTATTTCCACTTCTACTAACAAAAACCAGATATGGAAATCTCAAGGTGTTTTTATTTTGCTTTTTTAAAGCATAGCAGGATTTTGGTATCTGTAAGAATTTCCAGGTAATGGTTGATTCCATTTTTAAGTTAACTTGGGAACTTGCCATCATTTGCTTTTCATCCTTTCACACAGTGCAAGTGGTGGTCGCTCTTTCCTTCTCTCATAGCAGCAAGCCGATTCTGCTATTTTCTATAGCAGCATACTTCAGGAGTGGAGAGGGAGAGAGTGTGTCAATTATAAATAATTCAAACTACAGTGTACAATTCTATTTACCTGTCAGTGTTTAAGTTGACAGCATACCATTATATGACTCAAAAAATTACATAAAATCTCTACCACAAAAGCAAATAAAGACATTCTTTCAAGAAGAAATAAAATAAGTGCAAACACCTAATACAGGCAACTGAAGCAACTGTTGTAACCTGTAGAGAAACACAAAACATTTATAAAAGGACAAAATATTTTTATAAATAAGAGATAATGTTCTCTACTTCTGAAACATTGAGTAAATAATAATAAATTTCTAAGTGCATACTGTTTTTAGGGACCAAGGTACCATATTATTTTTTTAAACAAAATGCAAAAAATTTTAAACACATATACAAATCACCAGATTAATTTATATGACCCCCCAATATAATTTAAAAAGAAAATATTAAATTATTATTTAGTACATTTTTAGAACTACTTTATAACCAACATGATTTAAAGGGCATAGTGCAATATTTAGGTAGATGTGACATACAGTATAGATATTGTATTCTTTGCAGCTGTAACTTGCGACTGTTTCATACTTCAAGGCCAAACTTGTTCTTTACTATGTTCACTGTAATAACAGGAAACAACATTGACTTCTAGACACCCTGTATATGTATAAATATCTACATTTAAGCTTTAAAAATGAAAATAAATTATAAAAACAGACTTCTTTCCAATTTACAAAGTTTTTCTGTTCCTACATACTGTACAATACATTCAACAAAACTCTCAGCTCTTCTGAGATTTATGAAGAAAATACTGACTCTTCACTAATAGGAAAAAAAACCCTATTTGAATGCTTTTCATTTTTAGTACTATGCTCAAATAAATACATTTAACACTGTAGTTAATTTACTGTTTCTGAGAAATACCAAAAAATAGTAGTGCAACTTCCTATCCTTCCTTTAAATTCTTTTCCACTGTGTTTCTTTGTAAATGATAGCCTAAGTAAATCAGCATCAGGGCATAAATACTTCATAAACCACGTGTGCTTCCCATACACAGACTAATTTCAGAAATCGTACATACTAGCTATAGCAAAACTGCAGCATCAAAAGAGTAGCAATGCATATCTTATGAAGAAAATGTGTGAGATTTACTATTAGAAAAATCCATCAACATTCTGTTTTTCCCATCATGTTCTTAAAAACAATTTTTAAAAATCGTGTCTCTTAAAAATATACTATGAAATTTCCTACCCCTAACTTAAATGGCTTAATTATTAGCTTTTTGCCTACCCAATATGAAAAAAAAGGTGCAAACCATTTTAGGGCTGTATTAAAAACTTTAAAAACAATTAATTGAGAAAAATTTCATAGCAACCTAATTTAGCATAGAACACAGTAAGGAAGTGGGGCATTTCATCAGTTTATAGAGCAATTACAGTATTAGAGCTCTTGAAGTACTGCTAGTAGCCGTGTAAGTACTCAGATATCTTCTTGCTTGTTCAGTCATGATAAGCTGATCTTCTGTCTTCCCATAAACCACTGTCTCCCATTCACAATTTGACTAAGAAGGAAATATTAATAGTGATATGAAAATTACTAAAATAACTACCCATAGTACTTTTTTTAATAATTATTTATTTTTTACTTATTCATTCATTTATTTTTTAATTTGACCAGAGAGAGACAGAGGGTGAGAGTGAGAGAGAGAAAGTGAGAAAGCAAGCGAACAGATTCAGGACTCAAACCCCGGTTGGCCATGTGGGAGTGTCCAGCGCCTTAACCACCACGCCGTCTGCTGGTCCCACTACCCATAGTACTTTACAATTAGACTTTTAAAAGCCAATTATTTTAATTGATTGGCTATTTTATAATTATTGTAAAAATGTTTTGACAATGGCATTATTTCTTTTTAAATAATGATTTTATGTTTTAAACATAGTGAAATATTTATGAATTATCTTTTTAAGGTCAATTACTTTAGCTGTCTATATTGCTCACAGGCCTACGGAGACAGTTTAAAAATTTTGTCTCCAGGCCCAGCAGACGGTATAATGGTTTCATCACTGAACTTCCACATGGCCAACCACGATTCCAGCTCCAGAGCCAGCAGCTTATACATGTGTGCCCAAGATCCTAGGAGGAGAGTAGAGGGGAAGGGATTGCAGTATGGCCATCACCCTGGTGGTGGTGGTGGGGGGGGGCGCGGTGATTTCTCATTCTCTTACTGTCTCTGTCTCTCTCTCCAGTGAGACCACATGTTCTATGGCAAAAACTTCTTAAAAAAAAAACAAAAAACAAAACCCTTTTTGACTCAAGCAATTCCCCCAAATCAAATGAGCCTTAATAGAAAAAGAAGTGATAGTCTTTATTGCTTCAAATTTTGAAAAAGAGAGAATGTAATGTCAAAAAATGAATAGCGAGTGCTTTGTCTTATGAACTAGGAAATGCATTCATTACACAAAGTCAAGTTTATATTTATCTGATTTGTTTTCTTCCCTACTGTAAAGATTACTATATTATAGGTATGGTCTGCTATAAAAATTTTCCAAATGGGAGCAACAAATGACGTAATAGTTATGTTGCTGGACATCCATGTAGTTGACCATGGTTCAAGTTCTGGAACCAGAGGCTTAAAACTCACACCCAGGCACCTGTGCATATGTGCCCAAAATCCCAAGAGGAGAATGGAGGAGATGGGATTACTGCATGGCCATCCCATTTGAGGGGTGATTTCTCGCTGTCTGTCTCTGTGTTTCTCTTGTCTCTACGGTGAGTGCACATGCCCTATAGCAAAAACCTCTCTATAAAAAAATAAAATAAAAAGACAAACAAACAAAAAACTTTCTAACGAATTCTGTTCATTAAACACCAGCAAGGCCAATTATTTTAAATGGGTTAAGAGACTGCACAGCATGGCTCTTTGAAAGCAGTGGCTCAAGACAGATATGATGTGGCCATAATTATTTTCAAAGATATTTTCAAAGAATGCTTTAATGTCAGATATACTAGGTGCTATAATCACTAGGCATACCAAAAAAAAATCTTTCTTTTCAATGAAATTCTCTAGGGTGAACTCTTAAGATAATGCAGTAAAATTTTCCAGCCTTCATTTACAACCACATAGTAGCCACAAAGCAATAGAAGAAAGGATTTTGTCTTACAACTTCTTAGCCACAAAGTTGACTGGAAATCATTATATTACAAACTCATACTAAAACTGCTTCCAACCACTTACCCTTTCAGGATAGCAATTAGGGCTATACATACTTGTTATAACAGAAGAGCTGCCAGTAGATTTTCGTATCTTCAGTCAAAAAAAAAAAAAGAAATCACCTGGAGTGGACCAGGTGGTGGTGCAGCAGTAACACAACTGGACCCATGTGGGAAAGGGTCAGGTTAATGCCTCTGGACCTCCCTAAGCACGCTGGGAGTGCACATGCCTGCAATCCAGGCTGGCTGAGGTATATCACGAGTGAAGACCCTGTTAGGGACGCCTGTCTCTCTCATGAAAGAAACAAATGAATAAACTTAAAAAAAGGAAAAGAAATCACCAGAAGAGTCCCTGGCTACAACTCTGTTTAGTTTGTATGTGTCCTGAGGAATGAGTCTCTCAAACCCAAACCTAATTTGTGTGGCAAAAATGATGGTGAATGTTTAATTACTGTTATAATCAATTTCAAATTTAAAAATAGAAAGTATAATTTGTGATCAGTAGGTCCAAAGTGATCATTGAATAAACAACAATAAAAATCACTAAAGAAATTTATAAATCCATACCTGAAGATTCTTTTCCAATTTGACAACTTTGGAAGTGTTAGGGTTTGGTTTCTTTTTAGTAAGTGTATATGTTTTGTTGGTTGAATTTATATCTTGTTTTTCAGGAGTCAAGTTGCACCTATTGTCATGTATTTCCAATAATGGTATCATTAACAAAGATGTTGTAAATACATTTTCTGACTAAGAGAAAAAAAAAGAAAGAGAAAAATAAAATAACTAATTCAAAAATTGAGACAAATAGAGGAACTACTAAGTAAGTGGTAATGGAAGCCCTGTTCATTTCTCTCCAAGAAAGCATTTTGGTCTGGTGAAATCTCTAATAATGTAGTAATATTAAGCATCTCAGAAATGAACTAAAAATAAATACTGAAATTTAAAGTTTTGATTTTATATTTATCTGATTTGTTTTCTTCCCTACTGTAAAGATTACTATATTATAGGTATGGTCTGCTATAAAAATTTTCCAAATGGGAGCAACAAATGACGTAATAGTTATGTTGCTGGACATCCATGTAGTTGACCATGGTTCAAGTTCTGGAACCAGAGGCTTAAAACTCACACCCAGGCACCTGTGCATATGTGCCCAAAATCCCAAGAGGAGAATGGAGGAGATGGGATTACTGCATGGCCATCCCATTTGAGGGGTGATTTCTCGCTGTCTGTCTCTGTGTTTCTCTTGTCTCTACGGTGAGTGCACATGCCCTATAGCAAAAACCTCTCTATAAAAAAATAAAATAAAAAGACAAACAAACAAAAAACTTTCTAACGAATTCTGTTCATTAAACACCAGCAAGGCCAATTATTTTAAATGGGTTAAGAGACTGCACAGCATGGCTCTTTGAAAGCAGTGGCTCAAGACAGATATGATGTGGCCATAATTATTTTCAAAGATATTTTCAAAGAATGCTTTAATGTCAGATATACTAGGTGCTATAATCACTAGGCATACCAAAAAAAAATCTTTCTTTTCAATGAAATTCTCTAGGGTGAACTCTTAAGATAATGCAGTAAAATTTTCCAGCCTTCATTTACAACCACATAGTAGCCACAAAGCAATAGAAGAAAGGATTTTGTCTTACAACTTCTTAGCCACAAAGTTGACTGGAAATCATTATATTACAAACTCATACTAAAACTGCTTCCAACCACTTACCCTTTCAGGATAGCAATTAGGGCTATACATACTTGTTATAACAGAAGAGCTGCCAGTAGATTTTCGTATCTTCAGTCAAAAAAAAAAAAAGAAATCACCTGGAGTGGACCAGGTGGTGGTGCAGCAGTAACACAACTGGACCCATGTGGGAAAGGGTCAGGTTAATGCCTCTGGACCTCCCTAAGCACGCTGGGAGTGCACATGCCTGCAATCCAGGCTGGCTGAGGTATATCACGAGTGAAGACCCTGTTAGGGACGCCTGTCTCTCTCATGAAAGAAACAAATGAATAAACTTAAAAAAAGGAAAAGAAATCACCAGAAGAGTCCCTGGCTACAACTCTGTTTAGTTTGTATGTGTCCTGAGGAATGAGTCTCTCAAACCCAAACCTAATTTGTGTGGCAAAAATGATGGTGAATGTTTAATTACTGTTATAATCAATTTCAAATTTAAAAATAGAAAGTATAATTTGTGATCAGTAGGTCCAAAGTGATCATTGAATAAACAACAATAAAAATCACTAAAGAAATTTATAAATCCATACCTGAAGATTCTTTTCCAATTTGACAACTTTGGAAGTGTTAGGGTTTGGTTTCTTTTTAGTAAGTGTATATGTTTTGTTGGTTGAATTTATATCTTGTTTTTCAGGAGTCAAGTTGCACCTATTGTCATGTATTTCCAATAATGGTATCATTAACAAAGATGTTGTAAATACATTTTCTGACTAAGAGAAAAAAAAAGAAAGAGAAAAATAAAATAACTAATTCAAAAATTGAGACAAATAGAGGAACTACTAAGTAAGTGGTAATGGAAGCCCTGTTCATTTCTCTCCAAGAAAGCATTTTGGTCTGGTGAAATCTCTAATAATGTAGTAATATTAAGCATCTCAGAAATGAACTAAAAATAAATACTGAAATTTAAAGTTTTGATAACCATTTTTTGACATTATATATTAAGAGCTAACTCCTCTCAAAAAGAAAACAAATGCAAAAAAGAAGCAAATAGAACATTCTCTACAGCTAACAGTTTTTCTCTGAATTAAGCAGAATGATACTAAAGAGATCTCCATGAATCGCTAATAAACTGGCCACACAACAATTAAGAAACAAAAAACTACAAGGACTTAAAGCAACCACTTAAAAATACAATACTTCTTTACACACCTGCATATCTGTAATGTCTTCTGTCAACAGTTGAGTGCCTGGTTCTTCTTTTTCCCAACTATCTAAGACTAGTGATTTTCTGACTTTCTTCACAGAAGCAGGATGCTAGAACAAATAATTTACATAGAAGCATTATGGAAAAGTCTCTTGGACATTGTAATATTTTTATTAACAAGTAAACCAAAAGACTACCTCTTGTTTGCAGCTTTTGTAACCAGATTCATCTTCTTCTTTGAGGAATATGTCTGTTCCAGTTTCTTCTTTTAAAACTTCCCGAATATCTTCTTCCAAGAAGGCAAGAGGCTGGGTCTAAATTGTTTTTAAAAGGGTTTTAAAAAGTTGTTTATAGCAATTCCTTTTTCTGCCAAAATATAGGAAACCCATGTTTTGTTCTTCTCCATTATTGGCATCACTTTCTCCTAGCTTTATGGGTGTAGAAATTATTAGCTATCAATAACTCATCCATTTTACAGCAAAAAATAATAATGTGCATTAGCAAGCCTTGAGTGAAATGTGGCAATTTCTTCCTTTTAGGTTTACTAAATACAGTCTTCCTCTGGAGGGAGCTACTGTAGGGTCTTCAAAATTAGAAAAAGATAAAGAGGGACCAGCGGATGGTGTAGTGGTTATGTCACTGGACTTCCACAAGGCCAACCACAGTTCAAGTCCCAGACCTGGCGACTTGAAACTTATACTGGACACATGTGTGTGCGTGCCCAAGATCCTAGGAGGAGAAGAGACTGTGGTGTGGTTATCCCACCAGAGGGTGATTTCTCACTTGCCCTTTCACTGTCTCTCTCTCTCTCCAGAGGGACAGTACATGTGCCCTAAGGCAAAAACCTCTAAAAAAAAAGAAAAGAAAAAGAATAGAAAAAAAACATTATTTGTCAAGTATTTTTCTCAAGTAGAATAAAACAGAAAATGTAGAACCAATTGGGAATACTCTTGGGCTCCTTATTCTATTTTTCAAGTTTATTTATTTGAAAGATATATATATATTATATACATACATATACATATATATACACATATATACATATATATAATATATATATATATAAAAACTTGGTAAAATTTACAGACAGTACAGAAATGTAATCTCACTCTGGCTAAATGTACATATATTAATAAAAAGTCTAGAAAGCTCTAATAAAAACAACTGTTCACAGTAGTATATGGACGTGACAAAAGGACTTGATCAATCCTATTATGCATCCTCTAAAACAGTATCTCAAAAAAAAAAGAGAGAGAGAAAAAGACTAGAAGAGTTGAGTGAATCTACCCAAAGTTGACTAAAAATAGAATATAACTAAAGCAACCTAAAAGTGACCCGTATTTTAAAACCCTCTATTTTATTTCTAATGAACCTGTCAGAAATCTGTATCTGCCTAGAATGCTCATGGCTTTTCTAAGCTATTTCAAAGGTGACAATATATATGAAAGCACAGATAACTAGGACACTCCCAGCTCTATTTATCAGTGAACGACTACTGCTCCCACTACTATTAGAAACACAAGGGCCAGCAGGCAGTGTGGAGGCTAGGCAGCTGGAATCCACAAAGCCAACGTCGTGCCTTGAGTCCTGGATCCCACAGATTGCTCACAGGGCACGTGTGCGTGCTTGTCCAGAGTCCCAAGAAGAGAACAGAGAAGAGGGGACTCAAAGAGGCACCCTGATCAATCAGTTTCTAAAATGTTATTGTGAAAGAAATTTCTCATGTATATCATAATATTGAAATTATTTTATCCTGCATGTACCTGCTACTAAGACTACTAAAATGTGGGTTTTAGTGTTAAGAGTTCCACGGGGTCAGCAGATGGCATAGCAGTTATGTTGCTGGACTCCCACGTGGCTGACAATGGTTCCAGTCCCAGACCAGTGACTTGAAAATCACCCTGGGTGAGTGTGTGTGCCTTCCCAGGATACTTGAAGGAAAATGGAGGAGAAGGGATTGCAGCATAGACATTCCCCAGTGGGTGGGGGTGATTTCTCACTTTCCTTCTTACTGTCTCTGTCTGTCTCCAGTGATCTCATGTGCTCTAAGGGAAAAACCTCTTAAAAGAAAAGAGTTTGAGTTGACACCTGATTTGCTTTCTCTAAAGAAAGTCAGATTTCAGGGGCCAGCAGTTGGCATGGAGGTTGAGGTGCTGGACTCCCACATGGTCAACCTCGGTTCGAGTCCTGGACCCAGTGGCTTCCTTTGTTACTTTTACTTACTCTCCCTCCCTCCCTCCCTCCCTCTCCCTTTTCTTCTCCTTCTCCCTCTCTAGGCAAATTAAAAATAGCAAAAACCTCTCCCCCAAAAAATCACAATTTGTGGTTTTATTAAAATTAGAAAATATTTTTTAAAAAGGGTATACATACCACAATTTTAAGAGGTCCATATTTTTTCTCCTGTGCAGCAAGCGCATTCTTAAAAGGAGTAGGAGTTCTTGGTGTGGTACCCAATATAGATCTTCTAATAGTAGGTGTTCGAAACCTATTCAATCATTCAAATATTTATATTATAGTCAAACAACTTGATTTCATACAAGTTAAGGAAGGCAAAGCTATTATAAAAAGTTTACAATATATTTCTCTTCTACATACATATGCTTTATTTAAACATTTGAAGATCTACTAAAATATGCCTGCCTAAAATAATTCTGATTCCAATCAATCACCTTAAAATAGTAAAACGAGGGACCACCAGATGGCGTAATGGTTACATTGCTGAACTCCCACATGGCCGACCGTGTTCGAGTCCCAGACTTGGCAGCTTGAAACTCACACTGGGCATAAGTGCATGCACGCATGCCCAAAATCCCTAGAGGACATGAAAGGAAAAGAGATTGTGGTGTGGCCACTCCCTCTGGGTGGTAATTTCTCACTTTCTGTCTCTGTCTCTCTGGTGAGTGAATATACCCTACAACAAAAATCTCTCTTAAAAAAAAAGAAGAAATAGTAAAATGGACTAATACAAAAAAAAAAACCTAAAACCAAGGTCTTGCTTGAATCAAACACTACATTTGGCTGATTTTCAGTGTTCTAGGGATAAAAGATAAGGTCATGATTTTTTTTTTTCTTTTTTTTGAGAGGTTTTTTTGCTATAAGGCACGTACACTTGCTGGAGAAACAGAGAAACAGGAGGCAAGAAATCACCCCCCAGGGAGATGGCCACACTGCAATTCCTTCTTCTCTCAGGATTTTGGGCATCCATGCACATGTACCTGGTGTGAGTTTGAAGCCACTGGGTCTGGGACTCTAACCACCGTCAACTACATGGGAGTCCAGTGACATAACCATTATGCCATCTGCTGGTCCCATGATCTCTTTTTTAAATTATAAGTACTATATGAATGGGGATCATAATGTATGCAATTTATATGGACAAAAAAACTACTCTTAACATTGTGCTTATCTTCTCTAACACAATTACTTAATACCTACTTACCCTACATTTTCCTTTTGATCTTTGGGAGTTGCTTCCTTATGAAGAGGAGTTGTAATGAGAACTTTTTGCCCACAAATAGGAGTTGATGTAAATGAAGGATTTTCTATATTAAGTTGTTCATTTCCAGGACATGTGTTGAAAAACTAAAAAGGGAAGAGAGTTTAAAGACATTTACAGAGCATCAAAATCCCTACACAAATGTTAAACTGATAAGATTTTCAAATTATTTCATCACTCTTAGGAAAAGATCATCAATAATGTCACATTTCCATTCCATGAGAACTAAGCTCCATCAGGGCAGACATTTTTGTTATTTTTATTCAGTGCTGCCTCCCAGCTCTCTTAACACTATTCAGCACATACTAGGCATTCAAGAAATAGCCATTTGACAAATATTCAAAAAAGTTACCAAAAAAATTTTTTAATAAAACTGCATATCAAGTAGATCTACAGAAACTATTAATAGTTGCTGTATTAAATGGAATAGTTTTGTACAATAGTTCTATAAGTTTTCAGCTCTGTTATTAATAAATGATTTTTTATTTCTGTTTTTGCTAGAAGGCACTCATGTGCTCACCAGAGAAAAACAGAGAGGGAGAGGAGAAAGCATCCCCTTGTGGGGGCAATGGTCACACTGCAATCCCTTCTCCATCTCCTTCTCTTTTTTTGGTTTTTGAGTGCATGCACACACACACATACACACACCAGCATGTTTCTTGGGCCTCGAACCATACAGTCATCCATGTGGGAGCCAGCTACTTTAACTACCAGGCCCTAGAACTGGCTCAATAAATGCTCTTTTTTTGGGAAGAGGTTTTCGCTATAGGGCACGGGTGTTTGCCAGAGAGACAGAAAGCGAGAAATCATTTATTGCCCCCATGGGAGGGATGGCCATGCACAATCCCTTCTCCTCCAATCTCAAAATTTAGGGCACCCACATGTGCCTGGCACAGTTTTTAGCCGCTGGGTCTGGGACTTGAACCGTGGTTGACTACATGAGAGTTCAGAGACATAACCGTTACACCAACTGCTGGTCCCAATAAATGTTCTTAAGTGGCCTTTTTTATGTGAGTACTTTGAATTTACAATACAATAACATAGGGCTAAAAGGTGGCACAGCAGTAAAACTCGATGCTCTGAGAAGCAGACCCCCATGGGAAGGTGGCCAGTTTGCATCTGCAGACATCCCAGCGTATACCAGGCACGTGTGCGCCCATGATTTCAGCTGTCTGAGGCTGGGGGTGGGTCATCAGACCCTGTCAGCAAGGGAGTGCTCTCTTTCTCTTCTCTCTCTTTCACTCACAGAATAAACTTTTTAAAAAATGAATATAATAATAATAATGCTTTAAGGATAAGAAATACAACTGTCTGGCAAATTTGCCTATCTAGAACACAAAACAGAACCTCTGAGTAGCCAAAACTAGTATCATAGAGTCCATTTTCTAAATTATACAATTTACTAACTGGATATTAACAACTGTGAAATACGAATGCATTTTTATAGCCAACAGATTAGAAGCAGTGGCTACTAATGACAAAGTGGAAATTGCTTCAAGGCTACTTATACCTAGAATGAATTCTAGCTCTACCATTTCTGGCTCCTAATTTTTAAATTTTCTTTACCCTACGATTAGTGATCAAACCCTTTTTTACAAGATAAAAATCCAAACTCCCTGCAATGGGATATAAACACCTTTTAGTCACTTACCATATTGGGAATTACACTTCCACAAAAACTGCTAACATGCGAGTTCCAGAAATACAATAGAAAACTGCTAGTTTTCTAGATCACAATGGCTTTGTATCCCAGATTCTACTCATCTTCTCATACCACCAATAACATCCCAGCATTCTCCATGTTTCTTTGACCATTAAACTTCCTTCTTCCCCCATAAAACTTAACTTATGTGAAAGCTGGTGTTTTCAGAAGCACCAGCTCCCTCTCACTAACGGAACTTAGACAAGTTACTCAACTTGATTTCATTATACCTACTCCTAAGATTTTTCTGAAAAAGGATTAACACTGTGAGCAAAGTGTTTCACACATAGCCAGGAACATAACAAGAAACTATTCTTTCAAAGAACATTAAGAAGGAAAATTCAATAGGTAAACTAAAATCAAAATTATTCTAAATAGGTGAGGTCTCTTTATAGCTTATCAGATACATTTTCTAAAAAGTCAGTCACCAGGACAAGCAGATGACATAATGGTTAGGTCACTGGACTCCCATGTAGTCAACCATGGTTCAAGTCCCGGACCTGGTGGCTTACAACTCATGCTGGGCATGTGTGTATACATGCCTAAAATCCCAAGAGGAGAATGGAAAAGGAATTGCAATGATGGGACCATCCACCCTGGGGGGTGACTTCTCACTGTCTCTCTGTTTCTCCAGGGAGAGCATATACCCTATTTAAAAACAAAACAAAAAAAACTCTCTTAAAATAAATAAATAAATACATACATACATACATACATACATACATACATACAGTAAGTCAGAAAACTGAATTTCGATCTTAGCTATGCATTTGACAACTGGACCAATCATTTTATCTTCCTAGGCCTGTTCCCTGATGAGTCCTATGTAAAGATGTGGACTACATGATAAAGAAAATGTCCCTTTTAGCTCTAACAATGTCAAACATCATAATGTAGCTACTACACTTGGTGACATACTTTCTAATCTACTAGAATTTAACAGTCATAAACATATTTAACACACTATTTTTATGTTTTATTTTTGGGTTTTTTTTTTTTTCTACTTTGACAGAGGACTTGTGTGCTTGCCAGAGAGCAACAGAGAGAGAGAAAAATTTAGGAAGCATTTCCCATGGTGGATAGTCACACTACAATCTCTTCTCCTCCATTTCTCCTTTTGTGATTTTGAGCACAAATGCACATGCACCTGGCATATTTTTCAAGTTGTGGGGTCTGGGACTCAAACCTCCCATAGTTGGCCATATGGGATCCAGCCATCTTAACCACCACACGACTGGTTGGCCTTTACATGTCAACAATTTAACCAATCGCTGGTAAAGATAAAAAAATCTAATTTAATCTAGCTCATCAACATTTGAAAACACAAACAAAAACAAACCTGTGAAGGTGAAAATGGTAGTGTTTTCACTGGCGTGTGTTTTAGTGCTGTATTACCGCCATCATGGAATGAGCCATCACCAAGTTCACTACCTGGGGACTGACCTACTCGCGTTCTTCTCTTCTTTCTGAGGATGGTAGGTGGAGTGCTAAACTTGGCCACATTTGGGGTTGTTAAAGGAATAGCCTCACTCTCTCCATTGTTACAACTGTTCTTTTTTTCTTCAAGTACAAGACTGACATTAAATTGACATTCCATGGCTCCTTCATTGTGTTGAATTCGCATCAGTTTAACTGGGGTGGACTTAACAGGAGAAGCAGCAGCATCAGAAAGATCAAAACTGGTCACATCACTCCATGCTACAGGATCCTGCAATAAATTAAATTCTTAACTAAAGTTAATGCTGTAAACTAGTTAAATCTGATCTTGAACACAGGATGACAATTTCCAGAGTTAATTAACTACTCATTTTTATTTTATTTTTATGTTTTTGCTACAGGACATGAGCACTTGTAAGAGAGACAGAGAGAGAGGGAGAGGAGAAAGTATCCCCATGGGGCATGGTCACACTGCAACCCCTTCTCCTTATCTTTCCTCTCAGGACTTTGGGCATATGCATACATGTATCATGCATAGGTATCTTCTTCAGTAAGACTTTTCAGAGGATTAGATTATGCTTTTCCTATCACACCAATTTGAAATATTCCAAAATAACATGTCATCTGATTTGGTAACTGAACTTTACTGTCAAAGTATTTTAAATAAAAGGAAAAAACGTTTAGTTATTATCAAATCGTGAAAGTTCACATTCTATTGCATATCAGGAAAATATGATCAAATTTTGCATAATCAGTTATTTGTTAATGCACATGGAATATGTTTAAAATGGTGATACATTTTAATCTACAAATTCAATTTAACCTCAGGACATAATTTTGCACAAAGCTATGTATAAATATGTTATTTGTAATACTAAAAAACTAGACATCACCTAAATGCCTAACAGTAATACACCAGGTAAATAAATTTTCATAAAATTCATATTACAGATATGAATATACTATAAAGCCACTAAAATTCAACTTTAAAAAACTTAATCAATGTAAAATATATCTATAACCTTGATTTGATTATTACACGCTGCATGCTTTGAAAAAACATAGTATACCCTACAAAGATGTATGACAATTATATGTAAACTGAAAATCAAATTTTAAAAATGTCCCTACTTACCAAAATTAAAAATTAAAAATAGTTTTTAAAAACGCAGACATGTTCATAATATAAGTGAAAGACACACACACAGAAAAATCCACAAACACAATTCAAAAGTGTGTATATATATATATATATATATATATGTGTGTGTGTGTGTGTGTGTGTGTGTGTGTGTGTGTGTGTGTGTTTTATATGTATAGAAAATAAACTGAAAGGAATACATTACATTATTAACTCTGAGTTTATGGGGGACTTTAATTTTCTTCTTTACAGTTTTCTCTAACTTCCAAGTTTCTCTAATACATTTGCATAACTTGTAAAATAAAAACTAAAATTTCTAGTTATAAAAAATTCTACACAAGGCACATAATTGAGAAAAATTTCAACTTTTTTTCTTTTTTTTTTTTTTTTTTTTTGCTGGAAGCCATTGGAGAGGTCAGAACAAAATTAAGCATGGCATTCAAAGTAATGCTTAACATAAAACTGGCCAATGTCCATTAAACTGAATTTTAATTAAAACTTATAGTCCTACAATTCCAAACTTACAGATTCAATAAGCTCTAGAGTCTCTGCAAATTCTGGGATGGTCTGTAGAGAGGACAGCACAGCATTTGCTTCGACAGCCAGGAACTTCGTGGGTGAGTTTTGCTGAGCAGACATGGTCTGATTTTCATCCATACTGTAAAACTCACTAGCATGCTCCTCAAGGCTATTTATATTATTAGACATGCTATCATCCATGAGGAAACTACCAGACCAGCTAGAAAAGCTTCCAGGCTGCTAAAAGTACAAGAGAAATGTGAAACATGATTTATCATTCTCAAGGTAAACACGAATTCAGATTCCAAGTGAAACTTTTTTTAGAACAATGTACTTTATATTATTTCAGGTAAAAACACAGTAGCAAATATACTGCCCTTCCTCAAAATTGGTATAAAATTGTTTTCATTAAACCTCATACCTTGACTATATTTCTTTTCTTTTTTTCTTCCTTTTTTTTTTTTGGAGAGATTTTTGCTACAGGGTGCATGTCACCAGAGAGACAGAGAGACAGAAAGCAAGAAATCACCCCCCAGGAGGATGGTCAACCTGGCAATTTCTCCTCCATTCTCCTCTTGGGATTTTGGGCACACACGCACACACACCTGGCATGAGTATCAAGCCTCTGGGTCTGGGACTTGAACAACAGCCAGCCATGTGGGAGTCTAGTGACATAAGCATTACATTATATGCTGGTCCCAATATATTTCTTTTTTCTAATTAAATATTTTTATCTATAAAATCGTTTTTTAAAAAAAAGCATTTATATGCAACATAAAGTCTAAATTCCTAGAACCTGACCTCTCTGTTCTTATCAAACATCATCTCCAACACATCCAGGCATAAGCCCTCGTTCTAGGGAATACCCAGCTATAACAGTTGCAATTTCCTGAGCGTATTACACATACTACTGACTCCCTTTATCTAGAATGTCCCCTAACCTACTGATTAAGAAAATTCCTATTCTTCATTAAAGACACAGGTAAACTATTAGAAAATACTCCTGACTTATACACATGTATCTGTTTCATTTAGAATAGTATCGAAATTCATCTAATTTGCAACTTCATAATCATCACCTGCCTTTCAAGATTAAGCTCAAACCAGATTTCTTCCAAGAACCTTTCCCTGACTACCTGAATCTAAATTATGTACCTCTTGTATGTGCTCTCCTAACACTTTGTGACTAGATCCTCTTTTCCTATGTCCCCATTGCAGAGCAAATCCTCTGAAGTCAGGGACTGTCATTTTTCTTTATCTCCTACCTTGTAAAACTAGTTTCTTAGTGTTTGAATTTTATCTTTAGGTTTTTGCCACAGGGTGAGTGTGCTAGCAGGACAGACAGAGGGAAAGTGAGAAATCACCCCCCCGCCCCCACCCCAGGGGTAATGGCCAGGCCACAATCCTTCTCCTCCCTTCTCCTCTTGGGATTTTGGGCACACACACACACACACACACACACACACACACACATCTAGCATGCTTTTCAAGCCACTGGGTACGGGACTCAAACCACTGTTAGCCATATGGAAAATTTACACCTTAAACCACCACGCCACATGCTGGCCCCACTTCTTAATGTTTTATAATAAAAACAAGACACCTTGAAGAGTCATGAAAGAAACAAGTGTGGGGAACCAGCAGTTAGCGTAATGGCTATGTCAATGGACTCCCACGTAGTCGAACATGGTTCACGTCCCAGACCCAGTGTCTTAAAACTCATGCCGGGCACGTGTACGTGCGTGCCCAAGATCCCGAGAGGAGAATGGAGGAGAAGGGATTGCGGCATGACTATCCCCTCTGGGGGGTGATTTCTTGCTTTCTGTCTCTATGTCTCTCTCTGTCTGGCGAGCGCACGCGCCCTATAGCGAAAATCTCTCCAAAAATAAAAAAAAGAAACAAAAAGAAACAAGTGTGTAGCACTGTCCAACTCTGAGATGATGAAAATGTTCTGTATCCGCAGCTGCTTAATAAAGGAGCCACTAGCCATATGAGCGACTGAAATGCAGCTAGTGCAACTAAGGAATGAAATTTTAAATACTGTTTAAAATTAAATGTAGCTAGTAGCTACCATATTATAGAGAGCATATTGACTAATTCATAGAAAGCACTCAATAGATGGTACCTAATACTGTCAAAAATAAAATCAAATGTGCTAGAGATTTAAAATAAAACATTAAATTTCAAAATAAATAGATGAAAATCCATTGTTGCAAAGCAAATTCCACCTTTTCTCTTTTTTTTGAGAGGTCTTTGCTATAGGGCGCATGTGCTCACCAGACAGACAGAGAGAGACAGAGACAGAAAGCGAGAAATCACCCCCCCAGAGGGGATGGCCACGCTGCAATCCCTTCTCCTCCATTCTCCTCTCGGGATCTTGGGCACTCATGCACACACGCCCGGCGTGAGTTTTAAGCCACCAGGTCCAGGACACAAACCACGGTTGACTACATGGGAGTCCAGTGACATAGCCATTACGCAAACTGCTGGTCCCAAATTCCACCTATTTTAAAGTTCCTTTAGAAAAAAGAAATTAAAGCAACCTTATTTCATTAGTATAGCCACAAAATCATATGCCCTTCAATTGAGTTTGCATGTGGGAAAAGCAATCCAAAACGCAAAGAGGGAGGTCACTGGGCACAATAGGAAAAACAGAATTGCAATCATACAGAACTAAATCTGAACCTAACAACATTCCACCTACTTCACTGAGTTAATATGAGGATTACCAAGAATACATAAAAAACATCAACAAGATTAAAAACTATTGGATACTCAGTATAATAGTGGTCATATTATCACATAATTATTCTAAGGAATAAAAACTTTGTATGTTTATGGAGTCTATTGTATTAGCAGCAGCAACTTCCCTCTAAAATTCAAAATATCTTTAACCAAATCTTTATGTGAGCAGATTTCAGACAGCAAGTTCTAAAAGTAATCATTTTCCTTTTTTAATGCAAAATGCTAGTTTTTAAACTATCTATATTTTTCCTATTAAATTAAAAAAAAGTTAAGACTACCATAAAAAATGCGAGTGGTTTAAACCTGATATACTCATCTACAAATGCTGATGCTCTAACCATAACTATTTATTTGCAGCTTAACAAAACCAAAGTTAATTTTTAAAGAATTATTTCATTTCATTTTATTCATCATTATTAATATTTTTTAATTTGACCAGAGAGAGACAGAAAAAGAGAGAGAGAAAGTAAGAAAGCAAACTGCCAGATCCAGGACTCAACCATGGTCAGCCACATGGGAGATCAGCGCCTTACCACCATGCCACTGCCACCCCTCCAAAATTAATTTTAAGGTAAGTGCACTTCAGGTCTTCCTACTTGCCCACAGTTTTTGCAATTTCAAAACAAAAACTGCTTTTCATATGATACCTTATTTATTACAATTAAAAAATGTCATTTTCACTAATATCCTCTTAAATAGTATAAAGACATTATCAGTTGCTATTTTAAGATCTTAGGCCATTTTATCTTAGTGATTATGTCTAAATTCCTAGTTACTCTCCGTGTATTATCCTCTCATGCAGCCTCAAACCAAAGAAGATCCTTTTCTAAACATAAAGAGGCACAACATACTATTATAAACTTTTACTATTTTATATTTTTTTGCTAGAGGATATGTGCAGTCACAAGAGAAAGACAGAGAAGAGGAGGAAAAGTCACCCCTGATGCGGAACAGTCAGGCAGAAATCCTTTCTTCTCCATCTCTCCCTCTTTTCAGGACTTTGGGAACACACACACACACACCTGGCATTTTCTCAAGCTAACAGTTAGTTCCAGGATTCAAGCCACAGGGTCAGCTGTGGGGGATCCAGCTGCCTTAACCACCAGGCCATGAAGCCAACTCTATTTTAAATTTTTTAAATCGCCATTAAAGTAAAAAACCCATGTTTTTTTCTTTTAACCCATCTATCACAATCTGTTTAATTCTGTTAAAAAGATTACCATTTATCCTAACTGAATACTCCCAGTTAATTCTCATCAAACAAATTTCAGACAACAGCTTACATACATGGTAACCAAAACTCAACATCTACATAAAATTTGTTTTGAAAGACTTCTTTAGAGAGCATAAAATAAAATAGTTACCCTTCCACATATTACTTTTCTCAACTGACTGAGTATATATATATGTATATGTATATATATATATATATTTTGTTTTTAGAGAGAGAGATTTTTGCTATAGGGTGTGTGCACTCTCCAGAGAGAGATAGAGAAAGAAAGGGAGAAATCACCCCCCAGGAGGTTGGCCACACTGTAATCCCTTCTCCATTCTCCTCTCATGATCTTAGGCACACGCGCCCACCATGAGTTTTAAGTCGCCAGATTCAGGACTCAAACCACGGTCAAATACATGGGAGTCCAGCATTACTCCATCTGCTGGTCCCTGAGTTCATATCTTAAATATTAGTAAACAGTTAAAAAAAAATGTCAAGGAAAACCAAAGTATTTTTGGAGCTCATAAATATTTTTACATCTGCTATATTCCTTCTTTTTATTTATTTTCTCTTTTCCTGTTTGCTCTAGGGTACATGCCATAGCCAGAGAGAGACAAAGAAAGAGAGGGACAGTGAGAAATCACCACTAGGAGGAATGGCCACACAGTAAGCCCTTCTCCATTCTCCTCTCAGGACTTTTAGGGCATGCACGCATATGCACCAAGTGTGTTTTTTTAAGCCACTGGGTCCCAGACTCAAACTGCACAGTCAGCCATGTGGGATCCAGCTCCCTTAATCACCATGCCACCTGGCTAGCCCACATTTTTCAAGTTTTAATTTTTCCTACTAAAGCAATTACTGTGAGGAATGTCTAAAATAAAAATAAAGCCTAATCTAAAGCTCATATAATTTTTACAAACATAGTATATCAAGATTTTCCCTTATGCTTAACACTTATGTCTTAAAAAGTATCCTAATACAGAATATTGTAAAGATATACTCAGAGAGATGTATATAAAAATCAGGCTACTTCAAAGTTGCAAATAAAAAACTATTTTTACTCCATATTAAAATCTGAAGTCCTACTGAATATGCTTTCTAGATAATTAAAACTATGAAAGTATATGAAGGATTCTAACAATAAAATCTAAACAGGCCTTATTTCTTACCGATGGAAATCTCTTTCTTCTAACTTCGTTCTCAGCTGACATGAGCAGCAACTCAAGTTCCTTTATTTTCTTTTCTTTATCAGGATCTTCATCAACAAAAGGTTGCTAAAATAGGTTAATAAACAGCTTCCTTACATAAATGCTTCACTATATGAGTTCCAAGTTTTATATTCTTCTGTGCAACATAAATAGTATTTACCTCATAAAGCTTGCTATTAAATCCTAAATATTCAATATCGCAATCCCTCTGACAACAAAAAATTCTGAAAATTTAAAAAATAAATCTAGAAAATACATTCTATCATCTATATGAGTTTTAGTTTATTCAATCTTTTTTTTTTTTTTTTTTCCCAGAGAGATTTTTACTATAGGGAGTGTGTACTTACCAGAGAGACAGAAAGTGAGAAATCATTCCCCGGAGGGGATGGCAAACTACAATCCCTTCTCTTCCACTCTCGGGATTTTGGGCATCCACGCACACAAGCCACCAGCTAGGGACTCCAACCGCAGTTGGCCTAACCACCATGCTTAACCACCATGCCATCTGCTGGCTCCAGTTTATTGAATCTTAACAAATACATTCTATCCAATTTAGCAAAGATATATCCATTCCCAACTTGAATGTTTTTCTTTCTTTTTCCATGAGGAAGAGACAGAGATAAAAAAAAGGCTCCCAACACCACAATCCACCCATAACTAGCCACAGATCATGGACACATACATGCCCAGAGTACTCAGAGAGATTTCCATGGACCCTTCCATGTGGATGAGCCTTATGATGTGAAGTTTTACCACTGTACCACTGTCTGGCCTCATTTATATAGTTCAAACTACTTACACACTTTCCCCCTTTATGTTAAAATAATCAAAGTGAATAGGATAGTTATTGTTATTGCATTATATAAATATTGTTATATTGTTTTTAGCCCTACTTTAATAGATGAGGAAAGAGGCACTATTAAACTTTGAAAAACATATTTGAAAACACTTCTTTGTCTGTTAGAAATAAAAATTACCTGAAGAAAAGCAGAAGTCTGAACATGTTCTACACAATTGCCTTCAGGTGACACATACTGATAGCCAGGGATCTAAAAAGTAATCAGACCGTGACTAGCATATATATAATGCTACTTACATTTTTTAAATGAAGCAAACAGCAAAAACATTTGACAAAATATCAACATTGAAATGTAAAACGTATTTCTATTAATTCTGCAAATTCATACCTATAATAATTTTTTAATCTAATATATATATAGATTATATAACAGAATCAACTTATTAAGTCCTAACACTTAGGAGAGACCTTCAACTTCTATGTAAAATGTGAATACTTAGCTGAATTTACCAGTCAGTCTATCTATTATTTAACCAGCCAATTATTTTTTAAAATCAGCTATTAAAAGTATTGCTCTAGGGAGCCAGCAGGTGGTTTGGAGGCTCAAGTGGCTAGATCCCATAGAGCTGACTATGCAGTTTGAGTCCTGGACTTAGAGACTTGAAAAAACAAGCCAAACATGTATGAATACCTGTCCCAAATCCCAAGAACGGTGAAGGGATTTTGGCATGGCCATCCTTCCTGAAGGGTGATTTCTCATTCTCTCTCTTTTTCTCTTTCTGGTGAGCACACATGCCCTATGGCAAACTTAAAATAAAAAAAAAAACAAACAAACAAACAAAAAAAACCTGTTGTTCTGTCTTCTAAAAAAATACTTGTGGTCCTATCTGGTCAAAGGAACTAGTCCTTATGAAATACTCACAGGATGGAGACTAAAGGGAGTTTTTCAGTGTTCTTATTTCTTATGCCTACCATCATTCCATGCCAATCTATGGGTAGAAAGATATGAAAACACAACCTTCTTGTCTTAGAAAAAAATCAGAATCACTAATGTATTTTTGATAGATACTAGGCGAGGTAACACTCTGCTTCTTTTCTAAAACATCTATAATAAGAATTTTGAAGTTGCATGTGAATTTAGTGAGCAGTTGTAGAAAGAAATATGAGACGAGGTAGTATTAATTTTTTTAATTTGCTTGAGGGCGCATGCACTCACCAGAGAGAGACAGAGAGAAAGAGAGAGGAAGTAAGTGAGAAGACACCCTCTATATGGGATAGTCATGCCTCAATCTCTTCTCTTTCATTTCTCTTTTTGGAATTTTGGGCACACACACACACAACAGTGCATTTTTCAAGCCACTAGGTCCAGGACTCCCAACTCTGCAATTGGCTATGAGAGATCCAGCTGCCTAAGCACCATGCCAGTGGCTGGCCCAATGGAAGTTATTTTTTAAAACCTTACAATTGAATAAATATTAGACATGAAATTGTCTGCTTTCCATAAGGGCCTACATAAATCACTATCTAATGCAGAATAATTATATGTGACTTTAAATATAGAACCTAGCTTTATAACACTCAATTGGTATCATTTATCACTCAATTTAGTAATTCCAATGAATTAAAAATTAATCTTTTTCTAACTTTCTATACAAATCTGACGGTATTCAAACCAAAACAGTTCTTCTTCAAATCATACTTCACAATAAAGTTCAAATTCTCCCTTTAGCAGTTTAAATTAATTGAAATATGAACATACAAATAATAAAATTATTAAAAAATAATAAAATTATTGAAAGAGAAACATTCTTGAGGCCAGTCAAATAGTGCCACAGTTAGGCACAGTGCAGAGGAAGCCAGATCCCACACGAATGACCCTGTGCAGCACACACAACATGGTTGGGATCCTGTTGGGATGAAGAACTACAGAAAAAGGATTATACATGACCAGGTCCTGTTGTGGGGTGTTCTCTCCCTCTCCCATGTGTGTACCCTCTAATTAAATAAATAAATAAGAAATTATTTTTTTTTAATTGCCAGAGTGTATATGCATTTAGAAAACATATACACTAAGTTTCTCATGAAAAAATTACATATAGGGCCAGCCTATGTCACAGTGATTAAGGCAGCTGGATCTCACATAGCCAACCATGTAGTTTGAGTCCTGGATCCAGCAGCTTGAGTAATATACCTGGTGCACATGCATGCATGCCTAAAATCCCAAAGAAGGGAGAAATGGAGGAGAAGGGACTATGTCATGGCTATCCCCCCGGAGGAAATGCTTTCTCGCTTTCCCCCTCCATTTCTCTCTGTCACTGGCAAGATCATGCTTTTACTGGAAAAAAAAAAAAATTAATGCTTTTAAATATCACACATAAAGGGAGAGATTTTAATGAGTTTGTTCCCAAAATATTTATCAATCAAAATTATGGCATATTTTTTCAGTTTGGAAAGTTAAATGTCTATTCCTCCCTTAATATATGTTATACTTGGCCTATTAAGAAACCAAATACCTTCCCATATAGCAACTAAAGAAATTTTAGAAATAATATAGGTATTAAAAATATGTGCCTGAACAGGTATGTAAAACTGATTCTGGGTTTGCAAATGGTCCATAGTCGCACAAGGTTTGTGTTGAAGCTTAGATGAAGATCGTTCTGATTTTATTCCATCTTGTAAGTAGCCCTCCTGTTCCACTTTTCTTCGCATAGTAGAATTCCAATGATTTTTGATAGAATTATCAGTCCTAAAAAATAAAATTGTTTCATTTAAAAGAGAAGAAATATACAAGTTTTAACACTGTATAACTTGTACAAAGTGCTTGACACTAATTTTACAGCTGGTAGAATTATTTTTAATAAACTAAAGGTATATTGTTATATATAACATGTAGTTATAAGCACAAGAGATACTGCACTGAATAACACAAAGAAGGCCCCTGCTCCCAGGGAGTTTATATTCTCAACAGAAGTGCAGCAGTGGAGATGGAAGAATAGGAAAAAAAAAATGAAATGAGTAAGAAAAATATCAGTACAATGCAGATAATTAAAGTAGGATAGAAAAGTGAATAACTGGGATAATTTTAATTAGGTGATCCAGGAAGTCCTCTGTGAGAAGAGTGAAGCTAAGGTCTAAAGGACAAAGATGAACCAGACATACAAGAACAGGAAAAAAAAAAAAAGCCTTTAAGATAAAGAGTATAGCTGGGGCCAGCAGGTGATGCAGTATTTACGGCAGGGCACTACTACATGGCCCACAGCAGCTCAAGTCCTGGACCTGATGACTTAAAAATCCTGTAGGGCGGAGGGAGGGCAATTTCTTACTTTCCCTGTCTCTCTCTGTTGAGCATTCATAAACTAAATAAATAAAAATATAAGTTAAAAGGGTGAATTTGCATACATGCCCCAAATCCTGAGAGTAGACTGGAGAAGGGATTGTGGTGTGGTTATCCCCCTGGGGGTAC